TTTTGTGATTTTTGTCTCATTATCTTAATATTTTCTAATGAGAATTCATAGTTCTTTTAACTAGAAACATTTTGTTTATCAGCATATAGAAGCTGGAAAGTCTAGGATTAAGAACATGCTCTTGGGGCTAGAGAGATGCTATGTGGTTAAGAGTGTATACTGCTTTTCCAGGGGACCTAAGCTTTGTTCCTAGAACTCATGCCTGAGAACTTTTAAAACTGCTTTGGGTTTCAGTTCCAGAGGACCTGATGATCTCTTCAGGCTTCTACTAGCAACTGTACTCATAGCTACATACCCGCTCCTCTCCCCACATATGTATATAATTAAAAATAAATTAGATATTTAAAAAGAATACACTTTTGGCTTTGATTCAATGCAACTGCTATTAAAATATAAAAAAAATGAAGACAGGTGAATCATATCTTTAATTCATATTACTACTGTCCTGAAAGTAAAGGCTTAAGTTTTTTCCTATAAACATAGGATTTTCCTTTTAGTTCTATAATATTCAGCATAAAAAGCAGATAATACAACGGACATCTACAAATGATCTATTCAAAAAGTCTCCAGAAAAGAGCGTGTCTGGAGAGGAGAACCCTGATTTTACAGAACTGATCAGCTGCCTTGAGAAAGATGGTTAGGTGAGGAGAGCAAACTACAAGTACCAAGTGAATGATTAGCTCTATGAATGCTGAGCAGAACCAGAGGAGATGTGTATGATAAAACTACATATCAGTCCAGCACCCCAAACTATTTCCCCTTCACAGTGTGACCAGTGTGCATCTCGATACTACAAAGGACTTCAGAAATAAATTGAACTTTGCTGTTCTTTTGTGGTTTCATTGTCCCACATGGGGAGATCATATTCTCTGTAGATCTTATGGGAAGTAAACACATTGACACATATGATTGTTGAAAGCCAGCAGAATGGGAAGGTATGTGCTTAATGTTAGTTTTCTTTTTCTGTACACAGTGGGCTCACACGTATCATTCTCTGCCCAGCACCCATATTCCCTTACCATCTTAATGTGCTGCATCTCACTATGACACGTTTTGAATGTTATTCTCTTTCAAGGTCACCAGTATTTTTTCAACTCCTCTGTGAATCAATTCAGGTTTAATTGGAAATTAATTTATGAATTTATTTTATTTCAACTATTCCTTTACTTCAGACAGTTCACAAATTATGCTAATCAACAAAATAACATACCTCAATCAGAACTGAATATATGAAGGCTGTTTGATAGAGACAATAAATGTGAACAAAGAGAGAAATAATTAAGCCTCTTTTCAGCATTTATTGGAATCATGCCCTTAGGCAGTGTTGATGAAAGCATAAAAACAACAAAATAAATGGTGAGGCTTAAATTAACAAATCCTGTTCATCCTATTGGCAGAGGTCTAGTGAAATGCTATGTCAGTTTTCCCCTAGTTGGCAATAATAAGGTGAATACACACTCAGAGCATCAGCACAGGGCTACAAATTAAAAGCAACAGATCTGCTAACAGTGATAAGTCTATTTAAAAATCCTCTTGAATTTTTATTTCCTCTCTAGCTGTAGTCATGTGTGCTTTAGTAGAAAATGATATTTTGTTTGAATGTTTCATGTTTCTACAGTGCTGATGACTATATTTACCCAATGGGTTCAAGTACCCTCTGACATGGTAATTGTATGTGCACCCACCAAACCCAATTTGCAGAGTTTCACTCTAGAAGGAAGATAATAAGTTGGGTGTAGAGTCATTTAGTGAATTTGCTTTATTCTAACTAAATTCCAGGAACTGAAGAACATCACATAACAATAAAGACACAATGAATGCCTGCATTAAAAGGAAATTTCCCTGCTGGATCCCCAAATGCACAAACCATCAGTGAACTGGAAAGAGTGCAATTGTAGTAGAAAATGGCAGCCAAGCTGGAGTGTTACATCCAGGATTCTTACATAAAGAAGGCAAGGAGAGGGAAGAAGAAGGCAGACGTTATGCCCTCTTCTCCCAGTAATTAAGAAGTGTGTTATCAGCAGTTTTTGCTGAACTCCCCCAATTTGACTGACATTTGCTTTTCTATTTTTATTAACCAACTTTATTTTTGACATACATTCTAAAGAAAATTGATTTCATGAAAGCCAGATGGACTCCGAAAACATAAAACTTTTGGACCCCAGTTGGTGAAAGGAAGTGGCCTTGATAAAGACACTTAATAGTTATGTGCTTAAAAGATTTGTTAGAATCTGGAGGAGATGAAAGGTTGTTGTTCCTTTCAATAATAAAACCATAAAAGTTAATATTACAATAAATGAATCAGGGAAGTTCTCTGGTAAGGAAGGAAACATATGGAGTAAAAGCATTAATAAAAGTCTTGGGTGGATACTCAGGAGAGGTACTGTCTTTAACAAGTACCTTCTAGCCACTAACAGCAAGAAGACTTGGCAGGCTGCATCCATGCCCCCACACAGGAAGGAGATGGTAGGAGGAAGAAAGGGGGGACTGGGAACTAGATTTTCTGAGTGGACTTAACAATGGTA